AAAGTCAATAATCTATACCTCTGATAAAAAAATATATTAAATCATCTCAATCCATTTTAATATTTGTTTGTCATATTATTTTTACCATATTTAACTTAAAAATTAATATATATTTGTTTTATAAATTTTAGGGTCCATTATTTAGGCAATGCCAAGCTTTAAAAAAATGCAAATTGATGATTAACTGAATATAATTTTAATGAGAACTTGGGCCTAGTGTGGTAAAATCAAAATTTAAATTAAATCCATAAAAACTCTTAAGTCCAATAATATTTAATAACATCAATCTTGGAATATAAATTAATGAATAGTAAATTAACATTAATATTATATAATGAATGATAGTAAATTTTAGATGAATAAATTGTTTTAATATTTAAATATTTGCTCATTTATTTAAATTCATTTATTTTTATTTGCATTTAATGCATGCATTTGCAAAAATTTTGTTTATGGGGATACTAAAACTAAGAAATTTAGAGAAAATTTTATTATTTTCATATAACAAAATCTCAAGAAAAAACAATTACGTATAATTCGTAAAATCTGATATTATTTTTTTTCTTCTTTTTATTAGTCATTTTCCAAGTTAAAAAAATTTTTTTAAAAAATAAATAAATTAAACATAAATAAAAATAATTCCAAATAATATAAAAACTGGGTAGAAAAATTCAAACGTCATTTAAAATTTTTTTTTAAAATCATTTTCTTGATTTAAAATTTTTGATTGAAATTCGTTGAATAAGTTTATCCTGAAATGATTAAAAATCATACAATTTTTATTACCGTGATTCTGTCTCTCTTAGGCTTTATTGGTAAGTAGACAATTTTTCATAACCATTAATAACTAATTATATTATTTTTTGCATAAAATTGTTTCTTATGTTATAATATATTTTTTAAAGTTTATTTTAAGCTTATTATTTGCAATTAAAATTAGATATATATTATTTTTTTTAATTTATTAAACATTTTTATATTTTTTTATTGTAAGTAAGCCGTATTTTCTTAAATTATGATCAATTGTGTACTATAAATTAGTTAAACTAACAGTCGTGTTTGTTGTCATTTTAATTCTTCTTTAACTATTCTCTCTATAAGAAGCCTGGATTTTTATTTGATTCTTTTTTTAAATATTATAATTTGATTAGCCAAGTTAAATGTTAATAAATTATATTATTTTTTAAAAAATATGAGAGTTAAAATTTGCTAATAGATATGTAATATAAATTATATTTATCAATTTTTATATATATTATATATATTATATATATTTTATTTTTTTTTACCTTAAGTGGAAGCTAATAGTAATTATATATCATTTAAGCCTTTTTGATCTTTATTCTGTTAATTCATAATATAAATATTAATTAAATCTTTAAATATTTTGGGAAGGATAAAATTCGAATATTATAAATATAATTTTTACAAATTAAATTAAAGCATATTCGACTAAAGAACAAAGTAAATAATGGTGTAAAATTCTATCAATTTATAATAGCAAATAAATTTTGGGAGATTTATATTTTATATAAATATATTTTTTGCTTTTTTCTTTTCTTTTTTTTTGAAAGTAAAAAATAAATTTCATTTAATATTATTTTTTTCCAGTGTTTTTCTTAATTTTATAAAGAATTTCTGATTTTTTATCCTTAATGCATTTTCTTGAATATCTTGGTCATCATGATTCTCATTTTTGATAAAACTTTTTAAAAAATATCTAAACTAATAATCATATATTTACCCTCCAATGATTACAAAAAGATTTTTATAACAAAAGTTTTTCCTTAAATATAAGCGGTTTACAAATTTATGGACCATATAAAAAAAAAGACGTAGTGCAAAAAATATTTTAATTACGTTATAAAACAATTTAATAGTTAATATTAGCCATCTACTTCCGTTTTCCAAGACATCCATTACATATTAGTAATGTTTTTAACGGCCTAATTCGTGGCGATTTTACAAACGGTCCAAATAAGATTTTAGCCAAATCATTATTATGGCCTTGAGATTTTGCTCTTAAGATGGTAGAAAAGTTTACACCTTTATTGCCAAATCCTGAGGCATACATAATAATATTTTGAATAAAAAGACCGTTTAATAACCCAATATATCAGTTGGCCAAACTGTCTTATTAAATATAGAATCTTCATCATCACGGAGAGCACTTGATTTTTATGGACCATATTAATATATTCACTTATTCGTATTCTTGACTTCCACTAATTATTGCCATTATAATTTGGTTTTTTTTCCAGAATACCCTGTTATTTATTTTTTGATATTTCTTTATTTATTTTTGATATTTCTTTATTTATTTGAAATTATAATATTTTATTTTAATAAAAATTGTTTTATCCCCAGTAACTGCAAGGAATGCAGGTAATGCAAACTTCTATTCATATAGAATATTTAATATCATATTTAAATGTTCATATTAAATTTATATTATAATTATGATGCAATAGCCGAGCGAATTAAGTTCTTAAGTAAAACTTAAATCGAAGCTAGCCATAACCAGAAAATTTCAGGCCTTTTTATAATATTTTTTTAATTAGAACGAAAAATGAATCAAAAATCAAGGAATAAAATTTTGATATTTAACAAGAAAATTTTAAAATTATTCATGAATGAAATGATAAAAATTATTCAAAAAATCTTAAGATTGTGTTATAGGTCGACTTAGCCAGTAACGCTGGCATCCCCTCCATTTAGGGGGTCTATTATGGTAGATTTGCTAAAAAGTTAGGATTTTTATAAACTTATTTTTGTCTACAGATTTGGTTATTTTCGAGTTTGTGTCGACCGAAGGATATTTGTTATTGGGCATATCCTTTTATACCTTATTAGAGCTAAAGATCCTCAATACTTATGAGAAAATTAAGTCTTTAAACATGCCTTTCATTTAATTTTTCTAAATAATGATTGTACATATTAGTTTTATTTTATATGAGCAAACATGCAAATATATCGTAGAGTAATATAATACCCAATCTTTCTTGATTACATATTATATTGCATATCATTTATGTATATGCTGCATAAATGATGCAATGGCATATAATATAGATTGAAATATTCATCCTCATATATTTACAAATATGTAAAAGGGTATCAATCGATAGATAATCAAATGACCTATACAAATGGATGTCAACCTCTCCCACTTAATGAGCGAGTCTAGGTCTGTGGGGTCAGGAACATTTATCAACACAAAATATTGATATGGGTATCAAATAAAATCTAAGTTAAATATCTTTTGAAAGAAAGTATTCATTCTTGGACTTAGTCTGGAGGGTGTAAGGAGAGTGGGGAGAAGTAAAAGGTTTTGATATGGGTATCAAATAAAAGATAATTAAATGATTGTAATAATATTTTACTCTAAATGGGTGCGTTCGGGTTGGGGATGGGGGGTGAAAGAACATTTTAATCAACACAAAATATCGATATGGTATCAAATATAAGCTAATTTAAATATCTTTTGACTGAAAGTTTTCACTCTCGGTTTTAATGGGTTCGATTTGTGCTAGAAAATGTGGAGGGGGAGGGGATGTTGATGAGGGCACCTCTCTTCCAGATTTACTCGCTTCTCAGCTCATTTATAGAACTCCTTTCAAACTACTCCTAAAATACCTCTTTCTCAAACAATTTTCCTAATATCACAAAACCATGTATCCAGAATATCCAAAGGAGCGAGAATATCAGTTGCCAAATTTTTCAGTGATTGCATTTCCTTTTTCCTGTAAAATTTTAACAAAGAATAATGGTTAAAATATTTTTTCAGATAAAATACTTTTAAAATACTCGACAAAATGGCTCAATAAATTAAGGACACCAGTTTAAACATCTATACCCGTTTTTACGATATAAAAATCTATGTATCCAAAAAACAAAAAAAAGTAACCCCACATCATCAAAATACTTCATTGATCTCGAAGAAAATCGATAGTCATTACATTAAAGGTGCTCTTAAACTTATTTTTACCAATGATACTCTTGCTGACTTCTCCTAAGATAAGCAAGCTACACCAGATTTCAAACGCCAATAATTTTTCACACAGGAAAAAGTAAGGAAAGCATTTCTATCTTTTTATCGCGACTCAGAGCATGGACTTATGGAATTAGACCAATCTTCTTACGACATCTCCACTCCCTTGATTTTTACACATGTTTCAATTTTCACAAAATTACAAACTTATGCAATAAAATTTTAAATGGAGATGTACTCAGTTTTACCACCCTCTTTCTTCTGTGCCAGTCTTATCGCCCTCCAAAAACCCAACAAGGACATCCGACCCATCGTCATTGGTTCAACTTACCGTATATTTGGCAAAATTGATTTCTTAAAGAAGCAAACACGAAACATCACACATCCTCAGGCCTTACCAATTGGATGTAGGCGTACCTGGTTGGTGTGAAGCTGCATTACACTTAACAGGAATTAATCTCGAAAATAACCCAACAAACCAAGCTTTAGTGAAAATCGACGACAATGCATACAACACTTTTTTCCTCAACACCTTCCTACATTCCACTTGCACCCCTTTCCCCTTCATACACCCTTTTCTTTTGCTACCAATTTCCAATCTTGCAATTTAACACGGAAAAAATACTTTCAGTTGAGGGCATTCAATAGGGAGACACTCTCGGATCCTTTCTTTTTAATCTTGGAATTAACTACATAATGAAATCAATAAACTATTTATGTACTCTATCGCTTCATGTGTGATACATCGAAGATGAAATCTTGAGTGGTTCCAGCTATGAAATTGACAAAGCAGTTAACATAATTTACAAAATGGGGATCACCCAATTAAATTCAAACGCTACTAAAACTCATGATTTCAAATTCATTGCACTTGATTAACACATCTAGGATCTCCTATAGGAGGACATGAGGCAAATTTGCACTTTTCTTTACTCCACTCTTGACATCATCTTTTAATTGTAGGACATTTTTACTTTTTTTGTTATAAATTTCTTTTTTACACTATCAGATTCAACAAAACCGATAGGGCCCAAGCTTCACTTCCAACCATATTCGGTGAACTTAGCATTAGATCTCCATACGACTTAGCAATTAACCTTATCGAATATCCTTTTGTCAAAGGAAATAACCAACGCCTATCATTCTAAAGAAGACTCTTAATTGGGGCCATAAATATTTGGAAAACAAACATGTATCAATGCTGATTCTCATCCACCATAGTTCATATACAAAAAAACTGGGACGCTCCGCTCGCTGCGTTGAAACACTCCTATATAGCATGCAATCTACTGACTGCACCCTATTCTCTTCCCTGCTCAATGGTACTGGGCATGAGTTTGTCGAGGCCATTCCTTCTGTCAATCTTTTTCAAATTTCCAACCACGAACCTACCCACGCCATCGGTATCATACACCCTCACATCTATTCAGGTTATAACTCGCCCATTGGCAAGAAAGGAAGACATAGTTTACATTCTAGCTTCTTCAGTGGTCGATTCATCAGACATACGCTATGTAATTCAATAATCCAACATGCCTTGAAATCAGCTCAAATACCATCCATACTAGAACCCCAGGGTCTTTTTAGATCAGTGGTAAACGTCCTGACTGGATCACTCAAATTCCATGGAGGAGAGGCCAATTATTGGTAAGGGACTATTCATGTATTGACCCCCTTGCCCCATCTAACCAAGCCCTTAACGTCAATGTCAGAGCAACTTAAAATCTCCAAATACACAGAAATTTCAAATGACTATTGTTTCATTCCTATAATTTTAACCACACTTGCCACTTTCGGCAAACTTGCTCTCCCTAGCATTCTTTAAAAATTTTGGATCATAAATCAGCAATCTCTTAGATAAACATCGAGAGGGGTTTTTTCTTCGACAAAAGATGGCCATAAGCGAATTTCACCAGCTTCAATGGTAGTCTACTAGCCAAAGATCCATCCTAGTTTTCTACTTCTTATTTTTTTTTCTTCGCTTCTTTATTGTTATTTTTAAAATTTTTCGTTCATACTTCTTTTGTCCCATTTTAATATATATTATAATTATGCGCTCATATATTCATTATTTAATTTTAATTATCTATAATCTTATTTATAATTATAACATGTCGATTTCGGTATGATAAGTTTTTTTTATAATAATTTTTATTTCTTTTTTTTCCTTCCAATATAAATGTGACCAATAAATATATAATCATTTTAATAAAATAAATATGTAGTCAAATATCGTATTTAAACCTTCAATATTTATTTTATTGTTTAAAAAAAATTAATTTATTTTATCTAATGAAAATAAAATTTTAATTAAAATAAATATATAAAATATTGCTATTTAATATCGTATTCATATACAATAAAATATTACATATAAAAACATTATTTTTTAATGCTAGAGATGATTTCATATTTCTATTTAAAAAAATATTATAATAAAATATATTGAATATAAGTTTATATAGATTATATATATATATATATATATCTAAAAAAATATATAATATCTATTTATAATATATACTTATAAAAAAAAATTAAAAAACAAAATCTAGTTAAATCACGAGATCTATATATGTCACAGACGTCTGAAATAACCAGAATTAATAGTAGAGTCTAGCTGGTTATATTTATTTTTATGTTATCTGTTCTTACGATAGATTGGATAAAAGGATCTGACTAAAAGATCTAAACAAGTAGGTATTCCTTGGTTGCAAGAATGATCATCCCATCGGGCCTGGTTTGTTTATCGAACTGAGGTGAGAGTTCCACTGGAAAGGTACATTGTTGGCTCTTAACGTTTTATTGATGATTGAATTTGTGGAATATTGCCTAGGGTAGTCAGCTTTTTAAAAGCGAAAATGTAGAGGTTTATGGTATGCTGTCAATATAGGGTTTACAAATAGTACACGTCGTTTTTGTTAAAAATTTAGCGTTTAAAGCTGGGGAGGGTATACTCCTCAATTAATATTTCTTATTAGTCCAAGAATGTTTGTTTTGTTCATAAAAAAAAATTTAATTAAGAAACTCCCTCTATAAAAATTATTATAAATATTTATAAATAAGCTATTTATATAATATCTTAATTAAAATTGAAAGATATCATACAGAGCATCTCGTATAAGCGTAAGAAAAGAAAATTTAATAATTTGAATTTTAAATAAACAAATAAATTTTCATTTAATTTTTAAATAATTACAATATTTGTAAATATTTTTTTTTTATATAAAATATATTTTAAAGTTTTCATGAGTTATGATAACACAGGTAAATATTATGAACAATTATAAAAATATATTAAATTTTTAAAACAATCATTTATGCTAACTGTATATTCGTAAGGCTAAAATAAATATTTTATAAAATAATAGTAAGGATAAACATTTGTTTATAAAAATATTTTTTAAATATTCGTTATTAACCTTAACCTTTAAATTGAGAGAGATTCTTTTATATCATTTTTTTAATCATCATATTAACTCTGCCTTATATCATTCTTACTTTTTATGTAACCAAATTGTTAAATATTTGTTAATATAATTTTAGCACCTTTTTAACAATCTAAAAAAAATAAAACTTTTTTGCCATAAAATAAAAACATATTTTAAAGATGTATTTATTATTTTTTATTCTCTATTCTTCGAATTACATTGTTACCTCATTTACAATTATTTAAATAAAAGGTATAAATTAGTTTATATTCGCCAGAACATTGGCATAGTTTCATGTAATCTTATTGTCCATCGTTTTTAGAATAGTATTTTTATTAGTCATTTATTTTAGTCTTTTTTTAAAATATATATTCACCTTTTTTTGTTTCAACATATATCTAATGCATATATATTGCAATGAGAATAATATATTATAATATTTTACCTATTAATATAAATATGTTTTTTGTTTATTCATTTCATTAATGTTAAACCCCTATAGCCAAAAAACGTTTCAGCTCTTTATTGGTTAACGAAATAAATTATTATACAAAAATGACAAATTTAAGAAAAAGAATTTACTAGATTATGAATTTGAACACTTTTCTTGATTAGATCTTATATTCAATTATCAATATTATAAAATCCATTTAATCCTTAGTCCTATTTCCTTTCAATTTAAAACAATACTCATAAATCTTTAATCAAAAAATGTAAATATTTAATAAATCATTTGGTATAATAAGTGTAACAAATTTTTTTATTAAATATATAATATTGTTTATACTAATCTTGAATGTACACAATTATTAATAAGAAACGAGAAGGGAAATTTTTTGGTTTAATAAATATATTTAAAAATTTATCATGCTCGTTAGTGTGCCAATCATGCTCGTTAAAGTGTGCCAATCAAAATGTTTAAGAAGAAAATACAATATCTTATTCTGATGAGAATAATTAAAATAACGAGTAAAATCAATCTGTTTAAAACATGACATCGAGGCGCGATGAAAACTCTTTTTATATATGATTTAGAAATTTTATCATTTGAACAAATATGATATCCAGAATAAGATATTGATAGTCTTATAAATACATTTGCTTGAACCTTCTTTCTTTATTTTATCAAATATAAAAAACCATTTAATTTATTTTATAAAATTTTTATTCACTCAACTCTTTTCATTATATTTTATAAAAGAAAGTTATTTTTTACCATTTTAAGATAACTCAATAAAATATTAGATTACAATTTATACATAACATTGTAAAATAGACAGACAAGGTTAAAATTGGTGAACCTTTATTTATTCCTTAAGTTTTAAAACATATCCTAAAAATGTATCAATTAATATATTAGTGCTAAAACCTTATTATTTTTTTAAAGCAAATTTTTCTAGTCAGAATTTATAGTTTTTTATTTTAAATTGTTCAATAAATAGATACCTTTCTTAATATTATTATTAAATATATAATTAAATAAGAGGGGGTGGGGGTGACAATTTTTGAAACATTTCTGCCTTTTTAAGGATATTTAGTTTCATAGGTTTGGATGGGGGTGGGGATATGGGAACCACTTTAAATGATAAAAAAAATCACAAATTAAAAATATATATATAATAAAATAGTAATTTGACGATTTTTTAAAACTATAAAAAATATTAGTCATACAACACACAACCTTCTCATAGATTTATTTCCTTTGCAGTTAAAACCAAGCTGGCCAATAATCACATTTACTCAATCGATTTAAAATTTTTATAATAGCAAATAACCATTGTCGAAATATAAGATTATATTCTTTCCTTTATAATTTTAATGACATGCCCTATCTACAGGTCTATTTGTAATCTAAAATGTAACATGATATTTTAAAGTGCTTCTACAATTTACCAAGTCAAAATTTATAATTTAAGATATTATTTAGAAATAAAAGATCATAAAAACAAGGCATATTTTTTAAAAATATTTAGATTGATTTTGGAAGAACAAATATTGTGATAATTTTTCTTTTTTTGTGGGAATAGTTATTATCTTATCTAAATTATAATATTATAAAGGGTTAAATATAATATAATATTTAAATTCATTATCTTTAATATAGCTCAACTTGCAGGTATACACTTATATAAATTTCAAGAAAGAAAAGAAACAAAACTTTAAAACATTTGTACCTATATTTTATAATAATATTGGCTATAAAAATTAATTTAAAATACCAAAATAAAAAAAAATCCAATGTAGCAAAAAAAATGAGAAAATTATAAAATGTTAACCAACTCAACATATAATTTATAAATCTATCATCTTTCAGCATGAATGTAAAATATATAATAATATTTTTTTTATATACTATAATTTTAGTTTATTTATTAACATAATTATATTCAACAGTGATTCCATTTAAATATTAAACAAACCTGTTTTTAAATATTAATATTATATCGGTCCCGAAAAAAAATATCTGCATAAGTATTTTGAATAAAAAAAGTATAGATTTTTTTGTAAATCCAAAAATATAGACATTATATGATTTTCCTACTTAAAAAGAAAAATTAGTTAAATAATGACTCTTAATTTCTTCAAGAAAAATTTAAGCTAGCGTTCGATCAGTGAAAATAGTCTTTAATTATATAAAGTATATTTTGATTTATTTTATTATTGTATTTAAATACCGATCTCAATGTAGGCTAATTTATAATTTATAACAATTTTGA